TCGCATTCCCTACCAAGCAGAATATCTTAAAGCATTTCCAAAATGGAATTGCTTATGCACAGCAGAAGCTTGGAAACCTCTTTTTAGAAACCAACACCTTATCCACACACGGGAGGTTCTCAAGGGAGGTGTGTGCGGGAACAGGAGAGGGGGGCTGGCAGGCATTCCATGGTGGATGCAGGGAGCAGCTAGGGCTTTCCAGAGCCTTCCTGCCCCTTGGGCTGCAAATTCTGCAGGTGTCTCTGTCCCTGTCCTTTGTTCACTGAGGCAATACTGAGTGGCACCCGCCCTGCAGGGGGCAGAATGGGCAGGCTTCCTGTCCTCCTGCAATGTGTGGCAATCTGGCCATGGCATCTGAACTCCAAGTCAGTGGTTGCTCACTGATGGAGGGAGCATGGCTAGCTGCCTGCCATTCATGGCGGGGGTTTGGGGGAGTCTCTGCATGGACCTCCCCAGGTTCACCCTCTCACCTGTGGTGTCTGTCTGCCACGGACACAGACCTCATCACTGAGGCTGGCAGCCAGGAGCACCTTTATGTCTACATTCTTGCCTGTCTGCAGTTGGGTTATCCAAGGTGAACAGTGAGCAACAATCTCCTGTCCTCCCCCTTCTCTCCTCCCTTCATCCTCTCTGCTCCAGGCCCTACTAGGTCCTCAGTGTAACTCATAATGCTGAGACTGCAGTGGCATTTTCGTGGAGGCGACCCCTTCCCCAGGCTCTCCACCCAGTAGTAGCTTCCCATCTGGCCCCGGCTGACATGTGGGCCCAGCCTTCCAGACATGATTTTTGACAGAAAATGGGCACTGCATTCAGTAACACCAAGACACGGCACCAGGCCATGATGCCATGAGACAGGTTCCCCTTCTCAAGCCTATTTCACCCTCCTGATTTCTTCCGGGTTCCATGCTAATACAGTCCCTGCATGTCCCTGTCACTCAGGAATCTTCCTTTTTAACAAAGCCTTCTGGTGGCTACACTTTGCTAGAATCTCATGGTGGGCGCCATCTTGTTTCCACACATCTTTCCTTTTACTCATGGGTGTGGGTACTATACAATCATCTCTTATAAACTTATTTAAACAAAAACATTGAATTGTTTGGAGAAAAATCTCACTTGCTCATTTGACAGTTGTTCATGGAGTGCTAACAACATTCGAGGTACTGCCATAGGCCTCCAGCACTGCAGCCAGAACCAAACAGACACAAATTACCCCTGAGAGTGAGCAGCAGGCCAGGTGCCATCACAGGTGTGGTGTGTGAGAATTCCTGAGGCCTGGGAGACAGCAGTGTCCCTGTCCCCAGAGCAGGGGGCATGGGAAGGGCTGAACCATGACTGCCAAGCTCATGGAGGCTGCCCACCTAGGACCATCTCTGGCCAGAACCTGTCCAGCCACAATGGGACCTTCTATTTTTTTAACTTAAACTTCTTTTTTTTTTTTTTTGTAGAGATAGAATCTCATGGCCCTTGGTAGAGTGCCATGACATCACACAGCTCACAGCAACCTCCAACTCCTGGGCTTAGGTAATTCTCTTGCCTCAGCCTCCTGAGTAGCTGGGACTACAGGTGCCTGCCACAATGCCCAGCTATTTTTTTGTTGCAGTTTGGCCAGGGCTGGGTTTGAACCTGCCACCCTCGATATATGGGGCCAGCACCCTACCCACTGAGCCACAGGCACCACCCTTAACTTAAATTTTTAATAACTGCAGAAACATAGGTCCTTCTGAAGCGAGAGCCCCTCCCATCAGCTGCCGCCAATGCCTTTCCCAGCACCTTGGGCCAGGCCCTGCTGCTGGGGCTCTCTGTTTGCTGCTGCACAATGCGGCACCCGCAGCCTTAGCCTTCTCTGACCCTAACAGTAGCTATAGGATGAGGACTGGGCCAGGTCACGTTAGAGGGAGTCAGCGTATGTGTGCTCTGAATTTTAGAAACTATCTCTCTCAAAAACAACCTAAATGAAAACTTCTCCATGCATCCCAGCTCCACCTGGGGTTTCAGTGTCTTTCTTCCTGAGGGGCCCTGGGAGTACATCTGAGGCAGGAGAGTGAGGGCCGTGCCATGAGGTGGGTGCGCCTCCTCTCTGGATATAGGGTGAGCTCCAGCCCCTGCCATGTGAGGCTTTGTTACAAGGTTGTGCCCTCACCTGTTCAGGGCCTACAACAAAAACAGATGAACATGCACTAACTCTGTGGAGGCTGCATATTGCCCCACAGAGGGGCAGCCCTGAGGCACCTGCAGCAATGAGGACTCTTTGTCCCCACATCTCCTCACTGGGGGATTTGGAAGTTTTCTTAAACCACAATGGTCTGAAATCCAGACAACTGAATGGAGATGTTTCCTTCCCTTCTCCTTTTCATAGAGCTTAAAGGTTCTCAAATTTAGTGTTCAGTTGCAAACACAAAACCATGGATGCTGTATTTTATGTGCAATTTTTAAAGATATTCAGAAGGATGGTTTTTATCTGTAAACATTTTTTTTCTGGCCTCGGGCACTGAATTTAGAAGTAAGTTCTCATGTACATATAAGAGGTGACCACATTGCGTTTCTTCAATGAATATTTTCTCCTGGGTCCTCTGAATCTGCACACACCATGTGGGAGTCCTCTGCCAAGGTCAGTAGGACATCCCAAATAAAGGTCATCAGCAGTTAAGGAAAGTGGGGGGAGGGGGGCATCCTGCTTCTCAGCCACCTCCACCCCCCACAGCTCAGGTGAAGACGACCCCCACCCACACCACCTTTAGGACACACTCCCTTCCCCACAAGTGCCTTCAGGGTAGAGATTTCCAGGAAGCAGCCAAGGCAAAGAAAATACAAGGATAAATTGATTGCATTTTGGACTTCTTTCTCTCTTTTCTAAACTCAGCTGAATTGGTATCAGGAAGGAGCACCCAGGAATCAATTCCACATTTCTGGAATCTAAATTTAAACAGGCCATGGTGGGAACAGCAAGCTGCCTCCTCCAGGAAGCCCCCCTTGCACACTTTCAAGTGGAGAGTCTGTTCCACTTGAAGTAGAGGGAAGTAAGTAGAGTTTTCAGCTGGTTCCACAGGAACAAACACCAGCCCCACAACTGCGCTATTGTCTCCTCAGGGCCCCACCTGGGATGAGTGTTAGATTTTGGCATCTCTTATCATTTCCTGGAACAAATATTGACTGACAATTGGGTTCAGACACTGTGCTAGGCACATGGGTCATAGAGAGAGATGTGGCATGGCCTCATCTTAGAGGGGGATGGGGGACAGAGAGAGGGAGGTGATGGAAGAAAAGAGCACCTCGGGGAGGGCTGGTGGGGCGGGGGACACATGCCACCTTCCAGGAGCATGTCATTTTCTCCCATCAATGTCAGGAAAGTTAGTCAAAAACAGTTCTGTTTTTTTCTGCCATGGAGAATCCCGGCTTCTTGTCACCTTGAGGGTGAGATGAGGAAAAGCACTCCCAGGGCCAAGCTGCCCTCATGATGTCACACCACCTCTGCGTGCTGCCAATGTTTTTACATAACCCTCCAGTCCTCCCCATAAAACAGACCATAACACCCTGGCAAACACACTTCAGTAAAACTGTGTGCGATCGTCGGGACACCCGCCTGCCAGGAGATGAATCACACTGCCGGAGCGGCCAAGTAGCTGGCTTGGACTAAACTTTTCTCCCCTCATGGCTTCAGCTGAATAGCAAAGATCAGAAAAGCTACAGAGCTCATCAAGACCCCCAGAGGAGTATCAGGAAGCTGAGTGATGAGAAGGTGCTGGGGAGGTTGGAGGATGCTTTGCAAGCTGCAGACCAAGCAAGGGCTCAGGCAGCCCCTCAGCAGAGCACTTCCTCACCTGGACTGGCACCTGCTTCCTGGCGAGAGCTGCTACCCTGGGGCCTGCCTGCACCCTCTCTGCGTGGAAGGATGTGCTCCTGAAGGGGACCACGGATGACCTCACATCCCCCCACACACACACAGCCAGCCCGGCAGCGGGCAGGGCCGCAGCTGCCACCTGCGTAGTCCCAGATCTCAAACACCTCCCACTTGTGCCTGTTACGACACTTTCTGGAGGAGGTTTGCTGGGGCTGCCAAGGCAGAAACCAGAATCGTCAGCACAGAACAGAGAACACTCGCTAATGATGCAGACACACAAACTTTCTCCTTCCTGGCACTCGGCACATCGCGAGCCTGAGAGCAGCAGCTGTGCTCTCTTCCGCTGCATCCCAAGTGGAAAAGTACTTGTTCTCACCAGCTACGGCTGCAGTCCTGTCCTGCCTGACCCCAGTACTGACTCTCAGGCTGACCTATGCCTACTTATGGTGAAACAAAGAGGCCACCAGAGCTGGGCTTTCTGTAGAAACTTCCAAGGACCCTGGAGCTCCTGGGCACTAAGACCTAGGTACATCTAGGTGACCAGTTCCTGCCAAGCCCCCACTGTCCACAAGGTCATGGTACTGAGCTTTTCCCACAACAAAATTTTCCAGCTTGGCCATGAGCATCCCCAGGTTGGGAGGCCATCTGGGCTAGTGGTCATACATAGTGTAGTGAATACCCTTCGAGCCTCAGGGACAAAGGACACACAGCAGCAACTCCTAAGGGCAGTACCCCAGACCGGTCTTTGCCTATCTCCCAGGAGGGAAGGGAAATGAATCCGTTTAAGCCCCGATGCCCCACAACTTTCAGACTTGGGCACTGCCTGCCTTAAAGCAGGTACAGAGAACCTCACATTCCCCTGGAAACAAGTCTGGGGCCATTGATGGGCTGTAGGGGGTAGTTCTGAAGGGTCCAGTGGGCGAGTGAATGAATGAATGGGAATCCAGGGCAATGCCCTCTGCTGAAAAGATGCTCTGCCCAGACTGATCCCTCCCAAGGTGGTGCAGACGACCTTCCACCAGGCAGAGCAGGCCATCATGCCCCTGGGAAGCTTGGGTTCCAGTGGCCGGAACAGAGTGGGATGTCGCTAGCTCCAGGACTCGCCCCAGCTGCCGCGTCTCTGCCTAGCCCCTTGGTCCCAGGCAGGATGCTGCCGACTCACCATTAAGCTGGTTGTAGACCACCTCCTCCAGGTGGTCCAGGCGCTGCAGGATGGCCTCGCGGTCCGCCAGAGCGCCCACCTTGGCGTGTCGGCTGCGCACCCGGCGGTCGGCGCTGCGCAGGACCTGCACCAGCTCTTCGGAGCGGCCCCGAAGGCGGCAGTACACCGAGAAGACGACGATGCCCACGAAAACCAGAATGTTGACCGTCAGCAAAGTTTTGATCTTCCTGGCCACCGCCATGAACGCGGCTGCAAGCTGGGGGCTGCCTCACCCGCGGGGCATCCCCGTGGGCC